TACGCAAGGTCGTCATGGTACCTTTGACGTCATCTTTGTGTGTTTGCCGATGACTGAGTCGCTGTATCCAGAAGTGGCATTCGGTGGTGCCAAAACCGTATATCCCTGGCCTTTCAATGCAGTGATCAACAAACGATAATGCAAAGGGCGATGCCATGCCCCATGGGCTAGGAGCACGACTGGTTTCTGGTCGTGTGACATGATTGAAAGAGCTATGGCAGAGCTTTGCGATATCGAGGAATACAGAAATCGTTCGTTCAGATGCCTCTGGCTTGGGCCACTGGCCGGCCTTCTTTAGATAGTTCTGGTTGCCAGTCGCTCAGCAACATGCCTACAGTGGCTTAGGCGCTGATCGCAGGATCTGGTGTGTGTATGCCCCGCAGTCATCCTCTGCTGGACGCAGTCAGCTTATGGATGCGTGCCAGGATGGCACAGCATGTAGCCATTTACATTCCTGAAGCCGATCTACGAGCGACAATGTGTCTAGTTTTATCGCTCGTGTGGTCTGATGATACCCCATGGGAGTGGACCGGAGACGCGGTGTATATTCGCAATGCTGTTTCGGGCCAGATGCGGCCGATGTGGTTTGTCCAGAGCATCAACATCATTCCCGAAAGATAGAATGAAGACCCGATGGATTTTGCATCAAGCGTTTTTCAGTCGATGATTAATGGCCACTAGGATTGTGTGTAGCGCCTCTAGCATAGGCGTAGCTACACCAAGCTCCGTGGCCTTCCTTAGCGGGTAGCCCAAAATAATGTCAACTTCCATCTCCCGGCCTGCCTGGCAGTCCATCGCCATGCTGCTGCTGATTGGGCCTATTGACAGGATTCTGTTGATCAAGCGGTCCGCAAGTTCGTGATCGAGCGGCACATTGCAGGCTATCGCGACGTCTATGACCTCCGTCATGAGCTTATGCGTCATGAGGTTGGCCCCAGGAGAGGAACTTAGCCAGGCATGCGTGTCGAGTTGCGTCAACGTGGTGAGGGAGTTTCAGGCGACGTTCCACACTACCTTTTCCCAGCGCAACACTTGGATGTCGGGTACCACGTTGAACACAGTGTTTCCCTGCCTGAGTAAGGCAGAGAATCTGTTGAGCTTCACTTGCTCGGACTTGGAATCAAGATCTCTGTTCGGATACAGTCCAATTTGCAGATCTTCTGACTTAATCTGCTCGAATTGGCCGGGCTCGGGCTGTGTGGCTGCCGTCCAAGTCTGGTTACGCATGACAAAGTAAGAAATCGCGATCTTGCATCACGCACAGTCCGAGCTGGGAACATACCACACAGGAAATAATTGTCGTACGAGGAAATCGTATTCTGAAGGATTCTTCGTTGCCAACACCGTTTTGAATGATCGCAATGGTAGTCCTCTCTTCGTCGACGGCTGGCGCAATCTGGGCTGCTGAGGCGTCTTGATCAAGTGCCTTGTTGGCGCAGACAATGAGGTCGAACTTCTGGCCGGCTTCCGCTACTGTCCGAAGAACTGCCTTCAATCAGTGAATGAACTATCAGTCACAGGAAGAGGCCGCCCATGCCTTTCGATGGGGCTATGATGTGACGGCCATGACTTTCGCTGTTCAGAACAATTCCTCGTTCCTTGACCGCACTGAAATTCGATCGCGCCACCACCGTCAAGCGGACAGTTGGTGCTCTGTTCAAAATAAATGCATAAAACGAACCGATGCTTGTGGTTGTATCAGCTTGGCTTGGTACAAAACCTCGTGCGTAGATCTGTACTCACGCCCCTAGCCCATACACAAGCACATCAATGTGTTTTGCTGCAGACATGATTGCTGTGACTTGAGATCTTGTACAGAGGGAGACCGGAAACCTGTTTCGTGTGAATCAGTGGCTATGCTTGGATGTCTTGCTCGAGAGGATACGCCACGCCTGCTTCATATTACTGCCTAGATATGGACATTTGTTCAGGTCCATAACAAGGTCCATTATCCGGTCCCGAGCCCAGCCCACTTGTCTCCATCCCATGTTGTGTGAGGAAGGGCGTGCACCATGCCAATCTCGGCTCATGTGGCCCCGCATTGTTTCCTTGGCTGCTGTTTCTTTGTTGAACTTCGGAGAAAAGACTCTGCTTGACTCGAGGCACCGCGATGTTTTATGCCAGATGTGGGCGCAATCTGGTCCTTGCGTGGTATGCATCGCGCCACGATGAGCTTGAATGAGTCAGTCTCTCATCTCTCTCCCGCACGGCTGGTTCACACCAATCCCGCCACCCGCGTCTAGGCACAACTCGGACCACGGACGAACGGCTGTTCTATACCTTGGCAGTATCTCAGCGCGGATGCTTCTCGAACCACTACTGTCCCCTAAACTCTGCATCAGACGTGTTGAGGCTTTGCAGATTCCTCTTATCTGGACTGAGGCCTGCGACGACGTGCACTTGACAGCTCGTAGTCGCGCAAGCTATTAGGCATCTACCTCAAAGCAGACGCCGCCAGACCACGGTGGCGTGGCGGCATCGTATGCCGCAGGCGGGATACAGCGTCTACTCAGGTATGTCGCGGAACGGGCCTTCTGTGTTATTGAAAATCTGGGGTTAAAGGGAGTTGCGCTTTCGGAAAGATTGTTTGCACTGGTGGCATCGAGCGACTCGACATACAGAGATGTCGCTCAGGGACAGCATTCAAGCCCTTCGACGGGGGGATGATGTTGTTATCGAATGCCGCGTAAGATCACAGAATCAGATGACCAAGTGTAGCTACTTCGCTCTGCTAGTCGGCAGATAGATCTCGACGACCGTCTTGCGCACTGGCGGAACTACCTGTATCTTTGTCAACGTTTCAAGAGGCTACACCGAGCTTTGTACCCGACCCGTTTCTCGAAAATCTTGCTTTGCAGCCGGTAACTTGCACTCTGATCGCTGGATCAACCCACAAGTCAGCCAAAGCAAAGCCATCGCAGAAGATCGAGAATGAAACGCAAAGCTCGACGGATCCGCATGCGGGGAAGGTCGTCACGTACGTTGACCACACGAGAGGGCACGCTCCCAAAGCCATGTCTCCTCAGTGTCTCGCGGCTTGGTCACCCTTAATGCGGCGTGCTTGAAGTTGCAAACCGTCCGACTGGCCTTGGCCATTCCAGCCGTAAGTTCGGCTGCCGAGTTTCGGATCGTCAGTCCGACTTCACCTGACAGAATGGCGTGCAATGCCGCTAGAAAAGCGCCATGAGGACAAAGGAGGTCTGATAGGGCCATGCGGGGACTCCCTCGCCCATTGGAAATCTCGCCGCCAGCCTCTCTCCTGACGTACCTTTCCCTGGTCCGCCGCTAGGGTTAGTTCAAGGCAACAGCGATCCTCAAATGGTTATTTTTGGGGGTTTTCTTCTAATCCGTCCTGGGGTAATCGTCCGCAAAGGCAAATATGCACGCTGCCAGCGCTGACTGGATACGAGGCCCGAGAGCCGAGCCTGCAAATAAAGCCACGCTACCAGACATTGTGGGAATTGTCAAGTCGATTAGCGAACATAAGTGGAGAGCAATAAAGAACAATGGGCGGAGGAAGCGTGCGGCCCGGGATGGAGGGTGGCCTGAAGTGAACTTTATACCATGAACGCCGATAGCGGGACAACGAACAAGGTTAAACCTTCATGAATTTCTGGTACCATTAGCTCACACTTCTTCAGACCCATCGCAGATGTGAGTATTGGAAAAGCAAACTCTCGAGCTCCAAGCTTCGGATTTGGTATTATTCGACGAGATATGAACTGGTGTATGGCCTGTCTCTTTTTGTATAGCAGCGGTGCTTCCTTCTAGGAATATGTGATCAAACAACATACAGTAGGGCGATTAGCCCGATCACCCAGTGGCGGGCGGTAGACAGAGTAGGAAAAAGGGCGATGCTCCCGGATTACGCTGCAGACGCCCACCAAAAACTTGACCTAAAAAAACTTGCGCACTGTTCGTGCCAAACCCAAGGTAGTGATGGCATCACTTCACCTCGATGGGCCCCCCGGCCCGTGCGCGAAGCCGAGACGACCATACTTGTCGGTGTAAGGCCTTTCGTTGCCGAAACAAGTGACATAGTTCATGACTTCGGTTGTGTTCATGCCGCCTGGGTGTATCTTCTCCATCTCCTCGCGCATTTGAGTTTTAGGCTTCCCTTCCTTGAGCCTGTGCTTCTCGAAGAAGACATATGAACCATAGTAGACGCAGCTGGTATTGCCCGCCGTAGCGCCTTTTTTACCCAGAAAATCGTTGAGTTGTTTCGACTGCACTTTGCGGTCGCCGGGGAAGCTCTTGGCAATTTCTCGGCAAAACGCCGCCTGCGTGACGTCAGGCTTGCGGAGGAAGGCGTTGATTTTACGTCGTACATCGTCGCATGTGTCGTACACCTTGACGGCTTGCTCACTTTCTCCCTCAAGCGTTATGCCGCTGACATCAAGATCCTTGCTCTCCACGCCACGGCGGACCTTTTTGCCAGGCGCTGCCTTGAGACCCTGCAGCTCGCGCTTGCGGAAGAAGCGGTTAGCGGCGTGGAAGACGTCGCTACCGTAACCGACGTGAGGGCCGACCTGCTTCATGAATCGCTGGTACGAGGCAGGAGAGCAGCCGATGGCCGTCTGAAATTCGCCGACCTTCATGTAGCCGCCCTCTATAAAATTGCGGATCTTGCGGCGGATCTGGTTGGCCGAGTCTTCGCAAAGGTCGAGGCGAGGGTCATCGTCGTCAATCTGGGGCAGAGCTTGGCAGTCTTCGATGGCGTCCGACTTGCGTTTTTTGTGAGTCGACGTGGCAGAGGACGAAGGTGGGTTGAGGTTCGAGGCGGCCGCAGCGTCCACCGTGCTTCGTGCTCCCACCGTGATCGGAGGATGGGGTATCGTTCCTGCCAGAGTGGTTGCTGTAGCTATCGGCTGGTGTGCCGTCGAGACTTGGTGGTATGACGTCGGTGTTGTCGTCGTTGGGGAGTGGTATGTTGGTGGCGGTTGGTGGTGTACAACGGGTGGTGGGTACGCGCCGCTTGCATGCGATATGGGAGGCAGTTGTGTCGTGGTCGCTGGCGAGTGTGACGATGCGACGGGAGGATAGACTGATGCTGGAGGGTGAGGCGGCCGAGCTGTGGTTGTGCCGAGTGGTATTAATGCAGGAAGAGATGTTGGCCTCCCTTTACTCGCTGCACCAGCCTGGATGTTCTCGTCTCGTAGGGAGAGGGGAGAAACAAGTGAAGCCTGGAAGCGGACACGTCAGCCAAGAGAGCTTTGAAAGCAGACCAACAACTTGGTGGCAGAGAGTAAGGAGAGCGTACGATGCCGGGTAGGATGGTGCTGGCGGTGTTGGTGGTGGTGGTGGTGGTGGTGGTTTGTGGAGGGGGTGTTGGGTTGGATCGGTTGGCATCAACGTTTGCCAGCGGTAATGGCTGACTCTCCGTTTCCCAAGGCCGCCAACTCTGGACCATGGCTGGGTCGGACGAATGGATGTGTGCTGCAAGCAAATCTCGAGCACATACAAAGGCAGCAGCAATTGCAGGTAGCGAAGGAGGGGTCGGTCGGAAGTGGATTTTTGTTAGAGGATTCGGGAGTGGAGGAGTCGAGCCTGCAGGTGTTTGTACGGGTGCATGTGTATGTGTCTGTATGTGTGTGTGTAGGTATGTGGAGGAGACGAAAAAAAGAAGAGATCAGAGCCGGTATGCGATGCAGCTTTCAGGCAGGTTTGTTTGGTTAGGCAGGTTTGCCAAAATTGGGGTGAGAAAGGGGTGAAGTCATGATCCAAGTATTTGGCTCCAAGGGCTCCAAGGGCCCACAGCACAGCGCGTGTTGACGCGCAGTGTTTCACGCTAATTCCCAGACCCTGCATGCACCTGTACAATGTACAATGCACCTTCCCTTCTCTCCCGTTCACTGCTGATTGCCTGTCTTGGTTGGGGCTGAGTCGTACCTGGTAAAACCCAAATCCGCCTGATGCTAGTGCTAGCGTGCTAGAGCTGTCCAGTGCTGGGTGCCCGAAGCTAAGCGAGTGAGCGAGGGAGGAAGGGAGAGGAGCAGGGGGCAATTACGATACCTAGGTACCTAAGTACACGGTACATGTGTACCTGCCTGGATCCCGTATCTAGCGTAGGTACCCAAGGTACCGTAGGGTAACTACGTACTGTTGAGCAGGAGCAGCAGCAGTAGGACCTGCCGTCGGGTGGCCCAAGCTCCTTCTCCCTGATACCAATAGCTCGCTGTCGTTATCACCTGCGCCTGCCCCTGCCTGAGCTGCCCTCAATGATACGCACCTTACGTAACTTCGATCATCTGCGATCATCGGCTCCCAGATCGCGACATCACGAGGGGCGTAACACTTCCTCTCCCTTCTTCTATCACTCTATCCCAACCTACTACAGCCTCTCGACCTCCTCAATTGCCCCCGAATAACACAGCCATACGCTCCTGCAAGCTCAATGGTCAGGAACCTCCATCTGACAGGCCTTGCGGCCGCGCTTGGCAGCGCATCAATCTTGGGGGCTCTAGCCCAAGGCATTGACCAAACACCTATGGTCGATGAACCCGAACACACCGTCGTCAAGCCTGTCCTTTCCGGTGACAGGTCTGTCATTGACTCTGAAGCTCTGCAGACGCTCATCAAGGGCGATAACCTCTTCGAGAGGGCCAAGCAGCTGTACGAGATCGCCAAGCTTGGCGAAGCCGAGTACAACCACCCCACGCGAGTCATCGGTAGCGAAGGTAGGTTCAGTTCGAGACTCTTCGTCTGCAGCTCGAGCACATCACGACAATCGATTCACGCGTTACTAACCTTCTGTAGGCCATCTGGGTACCCTCGATTACATCTACTCCACCATTTCTCAGCTTGGCGACTACTACACCCTCTCCAACCAGTCATTCCCTGCAGTCACCGGCAATGTCTTCGAGTCGAGACTCGTACTCGGCAACAAAGTGCCCGAGTCCGCATCTCCCATGAGCCTGACGCCTCCCACGAAGAACAAGGAGCCCGTGCATGGCGACCTCGTGCTCGTTCAACACGAGGGATGCGATGAGTCCGACTACCCTGAGGAGGTTCGTGGCAACATCGCTTTCGTCCTTCGCGGCACGTGCCCCTTTGGCACCAAGTCGGCCAATGCCGGAAAGGCTGGCGCCGTCGCTGCCGTCATTTATAACTACGAGAAGGAGACGGTCCACGGTACCCTCGGAACCCCGTCGCCAGACCACGTTGCCACGTTCGGCCTCGGGTACGATGACGCCAAGCCCATCATTAAGAAGATCAAGAAGGGCAAGACTGTCGATGCCATTGCCTACATTGACGCCGTTGTCGACACTATCCAGACTACCAACATCATCGCCCAGACTGTAGGTGGTGATCCTGACAACTGTGTCATGCTTGGTGGCCACAGTGATAGTGTAGCTGAGGGACCCGGTATCAACGACGATGGCTCTGGCAGCCTGTCGCTCCTTGAGATTGCCACCCAGCTGACCAACTTTGACGTCAACAACTGCGTGCGCTTTGCTTGGTGGGCTGGCGAGGAGGAAGGCCTCCTTGGATCCGACTATTACGTCTCCGTCCTGCCGGACGACGAGAACGAGAAGATCCGCCTTTTCATGGATTACGACATGCTCGGTAGCCCCAACTACGCGTACCAGATCTACAATGCCACCAACGCTGTCAACCCCACCGGTTCCGAGGAGCTCCGTGATTTGTATGTTGACTGGTACAAGGCGCACGATCTCAACCACACCTTCATCCCCTTTGACGGCCGCAGTGACTACGACGGCTTCATTCGCAACGGTATCCCCGGTGGCGGCATCGCGACCGGCGCCGAGGGTGTCAAGACGAAGAGGGAGCAGGAACAATTTGGCGGCAAGGCTGGTGACTGGTACGACCCCTGCTACCATCAGCTCTGCGACGACCTCCACAATGTGGACGTCGAGGCCTGGGAGCTCAACACCAAGGTATTTACCACCACCGACGACCATTGTATGTGCTCAATACTAACGATCCTTTCAGCTTGTCGCTCACTCTGTTGCGGTTTTCGCCAAGTCCTTTGATGGATTCCCCAAGCGGACACTAAAGGACGTTGCTTCGTCCGAGTACGCCGAGAAGACATTGTACCATGGAAGCAGGTTGGTTTTGTAATGACATTGATGTAACTGTAGAACTCGCCAATCTCAAAGTCATCTTGTGTTGATCTAGGTTTGGTTATCTTCTCAGCCGTGGTTAGATGCATGTTTCATACAAGTAGAACCCAAGCAACAGATCAGGGGGTGGTGTCACAAATAAACGCATCCAAAGTATCTCAACAGATGTAATGTGCTAACCACTCATCCATGTTGTTGTCTGGCTGGTTTCGCTGTTGCATTCTCCGAGGCGTGGCTGTCTTCTATGTATGTAACCAATCTCTGTGCTACAATAAATATGCAAAAGGAACAATCACTGTCCGAAGACATGCCTCTGTAATCAGTCGGTCAACCCAGTCCGCTCCTGATGCTCCGGGGAGGGGGGCGCCACATCAAAGGCAAAACTTACTGGTCCTTCGCCCTCTTGGCCTTTTGCTGAGCACGCTCCTTTGCAGCCTCTGTCTTTCTGGCCTGAGCCTCTTCCCTCATCCGCTCCCACTTTGTTTTCTCCTCGAGGCGCGCTCGGATCATCTGCTCCGTGGGCGGCCGCTGGTCACAGCCAGTAGCACAATCAGGACACAGTTCCGCGGCCACGGTCACGTCGCCATTGGCAAGTGAAGCAGGCTTCAGCTCACGGCACAGACGCACGGCCGACTGCGCCAGGGCGAGGTCCCCCCCGCCCGAGGCGACCAGGACGTCAAAGTGGCCCGCGTCGAAAAAGCTCGCGCAGGGCAGACCCTCGGGCAGGACGACTTCGTCCGCCGAATGGATGTGGGCGCGTGCGGGGAACTTGGCAGTCTGGGCTGCGTCGAGCTCGAAGGGGCGGACGAGGGCGCAGGTGATGTCCTTGCAGGGGCAGAGGCGGATGTTGAATAAGGTCACTCGACACATTGATTCAGTGGTTTCTTCTTCTGGCTGTTGGGTAAGTTTGTTTGCTTGGGTGTTTGTATTCGGTTGATCTTCTTTCAACTATTCATGGGATCGATTTACTCGAGAAGGATTCGTTGTCTTAAAAGGCTGTGGAAGGATTGAATCGTGGCCGAATAAGAGTTCTGTTCCCCTTCCGTGTTTGCAATCAGTAAATCCAGTGTTGCACGTTTCCTTTGGATCTTTCCTTGTGTTTTGGTGTCGAAATTGCTCCTGTGCAATACCATTGTCAAAACGCAAGGATGGTAATGGTTGGGAACACTCTCGTCAAAGGCTGATCCGATTGCACAGATCATGAGCCACGATCAGCATGGCGACAATGTGCCCATACGCCTGGACAAACACAGACGAGCCTTGTAACAAACCAAGCTTCATCCAAGCCTTGTCATCTGAGGCGCTCTGTGTCTGATCCCACCGAAATACCGTTGGGCCCCAGGAAGCCGGAACATTACACTTCCATTTCGGTGCGCGTTCATTCATGTGCAACAGTATCTGGTATAGGTGCTTTCGCAAACTATAATATCTGACATGCGATATTCTCAGTGTTTTTGCAGTATGCCTTGGGTTCCAGAGTTGGCATCCTTCCCGCTTATCTGTATTTGGATGATGGGCTGTTCAGTTGTCGCGAACCAGTGAAGTCATTTCTTTGCGGCCCAGCTAAAATCGCGTACACCAACATTTTTCAACGCCGATAAATGGACAAAGTATTATTCTCATAGGCCGTTAAACTTTCTTCACCCCAGTACTACGGGTCCCGGGTCCGAGTATCTTCTCCCACGCCGGTGAGTCGTCGTGGGTGGTGGCGAATTCGATGCCTGGGAGCCCGAACAGTTCAGCAGGAGGTCGCTGTCGCTGATCTGCCTAACCGCGGTCTCAACTTTGACCCCAGACCTCAGCCTTTGCAGCATGTGCATGGCGTCAATGTCCGAGAGATCCATCAGCACCCCGTAGAGCTCCTCATAGACCGACCTCTCTTTGAGAAACGCCCCGTGTTGTCGCCTCATTGCCTGCGCCCTCGTCTCCGCGGGCTCCGTAGCATAGTCGCACTGCTGCCCGCGCTTCACACAAGGGCGGCATTCAGGTCTCTCGCCCGTGCACTTTGAGGCCATTCTTGTCAGATCTGAAGCGGGTTCTCAAGTCTTCCTGGAACCAACTGGGACGTTCGGCATATCCGGGAGTCTTCCTCACCTTTGCTTTGCGCTTTCGACAGGCTTCGCATGCCGCACTGATAACTGAGGTCCGTTGCCTGGGCGGTCTCGGGATCCGCTTCGGAGACGGTATCGGCTGGAAGTTGAGCAGGCCAGCGACCTTCGGAGGCGCTGGTACGGGGAGTATTCGTCGGAGCTTCGCCGCAGATCTGGCCTGAGCGGGATTTCCGCCCGGCTGGAACGTGTTTGCCATGTTCGACATCCCTTAGAGTGCTAGTTTTCGACAGAGAAGAAGGTCTTGGCGTCTGTATGCGGGTATTTACAGACGTAGGTTTGTACTTGTATGCGTTCGCTGATGCAGACGGTGTTGGGAACCAGCCCGAGCTCTAATAAACTCCAGGGTTCACGATCAAACGAAGGGCCTGCCTTGGCTTGCCAAGTTGGGCTCGGTTGTTCCCTCCTCAGTTTAAATATGGAAAGCACATCAATTCGAGTGTCGAAAGTTTGAAGGGCTGGATCTGTGACCAACAGCCGGCGGAATGATGATGGGTCAGTTATGGCACCGACATGAACTCGTCGTGCAGATCCCGGATGGTCGCTGTCATTTAGTTGGAGCGCAGGCCGGGAAGCAAGTAGGTGGTGGGGGGAGGGGATAATGGGTCTGGGAAAGGGGGAGCCGTGAAGCCTGGCTGTGACAGATCACTCTGACGCCCTGGGGGTGTGATCCTGCAGGCATGACACCAGACTCGTGAGCTCAACAGCGCAGGTCTACTCTGTGCCTTACGTGCCATTATGTGCTAACAATCCACCAGGTCCGACAAGCAAGACGAGTGTTAGAGCTTGGTGATACAAGGCAATGCGCGGAGACGGGATGGTGTGGGTGCCATCAGGGCCTAAGATTGTCCCTGGACGTGGGTGTGGAATGGAGACCCGGAAGGCATCTCCGCCCGAACATGTCTCCCCAGGGACTCAAACGGTAGCAAGCCAAGTGCTGGCTGTGTAACTTGGGGTACCAGAGGGTACCTGTTCTTCTCGTTGGCCCAAGAACACTACTCGGTCAGCCTTTCTTCTACACTAGAACCATCATATTATTGGACGACCCACGGGGCACTCTTCTCTGCTTGACAGTGCAAGGCGGAAGGGGCTCCGAGGGGAACCCAAGGTTGACTATCCAGTCGGCTGGATGTGCGCGCATTGCCAAGACCTGATATGAAGAAATGTACCATCATAGTGAGTCATTGTGCTTCTTGACATGACTCCAAATGCTACGTATTGGCTAAGGTTATCCGATACATCAAGAGACAAACCACTGATTGCATATGTGAGGTGACAGGAATTGGCCAAGGACTGCGGGTTTCCAGTCACGGTTGACGGCTTTCGACTGCCCGACCGGCTGGTGCAAATAAGGACCAATTGAGCCTCATGAAGCACGCATGTCGCCCACCATTAGCTTACGCACCTACCTTAGGTACCTAGGTAAAGGTAATGGACGTTGTTCTAATGTTATCAAAGACGGTGTTTCAGTCAACATGGTAGCGAAGCGTGCCAGGCTATGTCACTGAGTGTTTCTTTACGCAATCCCACCGTCAACATGCAGTGTTGCCGAGATCTGGAAAATGTCCGAGCCCCATTGGGGATCTTGCCATGCCGAATCCCATCCAATGGCGCCAATCTTCGGGCTTCATCCATATCCATGGCTTCTTGGGCGGAGGCTCTCCGCGCCTCTACCGTCGGAAGACCCCGAACTCAATGACTCCACCTTACCCAGCCATGCCCATTGTTAACGTGGCCCACACTTTCAACTGCATGAGCGCTTGTATCGCTGAACCGGAACACGAGGCCAAGGTATATGATGGCCAGAAGATGTCAAAGTGGAACAATTCTTATTTGACTTGATCTCCATTTGAAGGTGCCAAATTACAGACTACCTAGGGAATCGTACGAGGCCATGATCCCTGCAAGACCCTGATATCAAGGCGGAAGGGTCCTACGCTGCCAGTAGGTTGGTGAGATTAATGGTCGTCCCGCTCCAGCCACTTCGCGCACGCTTCATAAAACCTCTGCACCTCAGACTCATATCCCAACGCCGTCTGAAAGTGGCTTTCGCCCGCCGTTCTCCGCATAAACTGCAACGCCCCGGCGTAGATCAAATCGGCATACGAGACTGCGTCCACATCATTAGTCCATCATCATGATCCCACTCCCCACTCGCACCGAGTCGCGTCCGCGTCAGAAGAGGACAAAATGGGACAACTCACCAGTCTCTCCCAGGAAGAATGGACCTTCCGTCTCCCGCAACAGCGCGGCCGCCTTGGCAAACACCGGTCTCGCATTTTCCCACGATTCGTCCCCGCCCTGGGTCCTCCGGAGCTCCTCGAGCGTCATGCCGAAGATTTCCCGTCGGGTCTCTTCGAAGTAGGGCCGCGACGCGTCAGTGAGGCACTTGGTCGCAACGTTGGGGATCAGAACGCCCATGAGCGGACTCATGGTCTCCTTAACGAGAGCCTGCACCTTATCGGTGGCGGGGTCATCAACACGTAGCGGGCGCTCGGGGTACCGCTTCTCGAGCTCGTCAATGATGAGGCGTGAGTTCATGACAGCCCTACCATCCGGGAACACGACGGCGGGGACGGTATAGGGCTTAAGCTCCTCCGGCTGCGGGGCGAGGCCGAGACCCTTCAAGGTGGGCTCGATGTCGGGATACTGGATCCATGTGGTGGTGTAGGGGATCTGCTTGTAATTGAGTGCCAAACGGGCTGGGTGCGTCAGCATGCGGGAAGGTTTGCAGCAAGTGTTGGGGTCAAGATGCGATCAGTCCGTCAAGATGCGACCAGTCCGCGTTGCGGGGAAGAAACTTACTCTTCCACGGGTTGAGTGACCAGCATCCCTTCCCACTGTCCTTGCTAGGCAAATCGTAGAGGATCACCTTGTCCGACATGATGTGTGCGCTGTAAACAGGGTTGTTCCTTCACAATGCCTTTTTCGAATTGGATACGGAGAAGTCTTCCAAGATCTAGTTTGTAGAGGACACAACACAGGGCGAGTGACGGACTAGAAGTACTCGCTATGGAGGCCATGTCATCGTAATGATGCGCTGCACCTCTGACGCCCTAGTGGGCCGAGCGAAGGGCGTAGTCTAGACTTCCATCGCGCTCTTGAGAGTTTAGATCCACTGCACAGGCATTGTTCACACGATACGCCAACACACTGTCTAAGGTGACGACCGCTGTGTTCCTCAATCTCCCAGATGGTGTCATTCCCACCTTGCTATGCACGCGGCTTACAACATGAGGCTGCACGACATTGCAGTCAGCAACAGCCACGCAAAACACCGGGCGCAGCACGGCACACAGCGCCGGAAAGGAGCGTCTCGACATGCAGAAGGATCTTCCGCATCATCATAGACCCACTGCTTCAGGGGACCAAGAGGGCCAGATCGACAGAGCGATAAGGGCCACGCGCCGCGCGACGGCATGAACAAGGGTGAATGCAGAACAGCAAGTATCAATTGAGACGTAGAACCAGCTAGGAATGACGGGAGCCTGTCGGACTTGAAGCGCGCACATTAGGCTGCTACATCTACAGTGCATTGCTTGCGCAGCTGAAGACGCCCTTGGCGCCAGCCCTGAACTCCTCCAGGATCCCCTCAACGCTGGCGTACGTGCCAACCGTGAGAAACACGACACCGACGCCGATGATGAACAAATTCAAGGCCACCGATGCCGCGTCGCTGATTTTGCTAGGGCGTCCATATCCAGCGGCCTTGTCGACGGATCGCATGCGGAAGAAGGCGACTCCCCAGAAGATGAAGCCGAAGAAGGAATCGAAGAGGGACGACATGAGCGACAGAACTGGGAATTATCAGCGACCTTTCTTCATTCTTCACTTGGAGGAATAGCATCGTATCCAGTTTGACAATACGTACGGGAGCTGAAGATGGGAATGACTTCGGCAATGATGAACGCGGCAACCCACGTTGCGACTGCAAAGTGTCAGATCCGTGTACTCGAAAGCTTCTCACAGGAAAGAGACGTACACAGAATACCTGCCCAACTCGCCCAGCCGACCACGGTGTGCTCGTTGATGTGGCGCTTGTTATTCTCGAAAACGCGGAAAAAGACGAAGCGGCTCGAAACAGCGGCGTACAGAACACCAAGGAAGATGAGCGTTGGGATCATAAACGAAAAGGCCACCTTTTTGTGAACCTCGTCAGATAGCGAGCCGAAGGCCGGAGCCGTCATGTACTGGTTGCCGACATTTGAGTAGACGACGGCGCCGACGATGCTGAAGACGATAATCTCGCCAATGGTGCACGCCCACAGGGCTTTCGGGAAGTCCCTGACCCAAAATCAGTATGACAGCAGTGGAGGTCAGGGAATTGGGAACTGCACGTACCGGGGGTTGCGCATCTCGGCAATGAAGCTCGGGAGCGTGATCTGGCCGATGAAAGTGTAGCTGATGCTCAAGAAGGCATTCATACCAGCAACAAAGGTCGTTCCTGGAACCGGCACGGCTCGTACGAGAGGTTCCCCGATGGCGGCATCATATCCGGCAGGATGGTCCTGGATTCCGGCAAAGACTGTCGCGAGTATGACAGAGATGAAAGTGAAGAGCGCAGACGCAACGGCGAACTTGGACAGCAGGTCAAACGTGCGCGGCAGCGACGACAGCCAGGAGATGATGGCCATGACGACGGAGAAGACGACAGTGCTGCAGCGGGGCCCACCGGAAGTGACCATTGTGTTCAGGTATTCGGCACCGACGAGGACATGAAGACCTTGGATGAACTGCTGGTCATCAGAACTGCCGGCACGGCGAAGATGCGAGGGATACTCACGGTGTTGTTGAGGATGAACATGACGGCAGTAGCCCACCATGCCCATCGCTGACCCCAGAACAGCATCTGGCCAATGTCACAGATGTCGCGGACCTCGGGGTGGCGCAGGCAGAACTGCCAAAGGACAAGCGATCTGTTGATGGTCAGCTTGATTGCTGCGTCCTTTGCTCAGAAAGAAACTAACGTGTAGAGCACTGTCGCTGCGATGAAGATTGTAAGAATCAAGCTGCCAAGGTAAGCTTGCTGTCTTCAGTGAAGGAATTGGTGCATCATCCTACCCAGGAACCAGGCCTAACACGCTGTATGCCCATGGAAAGCTCATGATTGCCTATCCAGGTGAGAAAAAATTCATCCCTGGCAGTCGCCAGGGTGGCACTCACTAAGCAAATGTATTCGGAAAACAGCAAAGCAGCAGTCTGTATTCATTAGTGTCTGCATGTCGACATTGTTAACCCCCGAGAGGAGGCATACCTTTGGCCAAGAGCAAGTACGGTACTGAATGGCGCAGCCATCCTCCTTGGCAAGCTGCTTGTGCAGAATGTCCTCACTCGAAGACACGCCGCCCTCGATGGATGACGTCTCGGAGCGCACCGAGTCTGCGACGGGGGCAATGCGCGGGCCGATGGCCGTGTTGCGGCCGCCGAACCACTGGAAGCCGCTCGGCTCGGGCGCGGCCTCAACATCGCCGGCAGCCAGAGGCTTGCCGTCACCAACGGGGCTTGCCCGCTTCTCAAGGGAGGAGGAGTCAAGGGGCGAGCCCCCTGTTTCGTGCGTCGCCATGATACTATGTATCAGTAACCTCTCGGCAAGTCGACGATGCTTATCGAGATCCGTATCGAGTATCGTAGTGAACAAGACAACAAGGCTCGGTTGTGGAAAGTATCTCGCACCCGGTTGGCGTCTCAACGTAAGCCTCAAATCAGATCGTCGTCAAGACACGCTTTTCGTTCAGATTGTTATGCCAGAAAAGAAGTCCGCCACACCAAAGTAAAGCAGTAGCGAGGGTGAGACTTCAAGAACTGAAGAGGATCACAGGGACGGGACCCTGGCCCAGAAGTATGGTCCGGCAAAGGACGTCCCCGGCGAACGTTGCACTCGTTTCCCAGGTACCTCGAATCCCATTTTGCCTTGCTAGTCACCATCCACAAAAACGCCCCCCCAATCGTGGAAGCATCAAATGGCGTGCTCCTAGCTCCTCTCGATAATCTCTACCTCCCTCCACCGCTGGTCCTGGATCGCGCCAGCGATGAAGGGTTGGAGGGGGCGCCGCCGGGGGCGTGCTCACACGTGGGGTACCACCGAGCCAGCACGTAAAGACCAGCTTTTGTCGGTACACGAGCTTTTGCTCCCAGCGAGCCGAGTCCCTGTAAGGTCGTTACCAGAGAGGGCGAGGAAATACAGGTCTCACCCTCCCAATGAAGCGCTGGCGCAAACAGCAGCACGCTGTTTGGGCCAACCCCATGTGGACCACCCGCGTTCGCGGCCAGACGGACTGGTTCCCATCTCGTGTCACGAACCAACGAGAGGGTTGCGAAAGAAGGATTGAGATGCCGTCCGTTCCCGGACCCCTGTTTACCGCGCAGACTTGGGCTCTGCCGGATGGATGTCGTGACGTCGGCGTGGCTGTCGGGGGGGGCGTTCCCGGCTGGTCGGGGCAGCCTAGAGAGCCAAGAGATGTCCGGATCTTTCACCCGCTGGCCACAGTCTACTTGGCAGGGGTCCCTCCTTCACGAGACCCAGGCGGGGGGGCAATGAGGGCCAGAGCCAGAAAGAACGTTTAAACATGAGATTGCGTGATCGAGAACGCGTGCCCTTTTTTCAACACAAGGTTTAGGTCATTTGCGACCCCTGGCTGCAGCGTTGTGAGAGAGCCTAAATTCTCCCTCATGGAAAGCATTCTACGAGTGTCGGTGAATAATGAGAGCCTGGCGTGCCGCTCCCTTTGGCAATTTGCAGTGATCGGCGGCGTTCTCGGAAACACGGCAGATGAGAGGAGGGTGGTGACGTGAGACTAGTCTTTCAGCCTGACTCGTCGGCTGGGCCGCTGCAAACGTTACTACGTACATGCTAAAGGTACCTATGCGGAGACAGTCTTGAAAAGGACCGTCTTGTACCACCGACATGTCAAGTCGCGATTTACTGCACCACATTCATAGTTCGGTAATAGGCAGTGCTGGATGAATGGGAATCGATCATTATGCTAGGCTTCACCAGTGCGCCAGCCTCGGCTTCTCCATGTGTGACTCCGGTTCCCATGCGTGATAGACTATGCCGTGCCTCGCTCAGTCATCGTTACCCTCATCAACCCACGTGCTTCATTACCTCCTCCAGTACCACAGCTGGACCCCAATCACGGCTGTGTCTCGTCCCACTCAACCCACCGCCGTATCACCTCATCAACTCTCCTGACGCCCTCTCGCGTTGCCTCGATCTCGAACCACTCCCTGTGATCTCGTCCACACGTGTCGCAACTTCCGCGGACCGCCTTGAGTCCTAGTCCAGCCAGCTCAATGTGCACCAGCCTTTCGACGCGATGGCAATGCGGCGCCATCCGCGGCGACTGGCCCGACGCCTCACTCGCTCCCGGCAGGTACGGGTAGTACCGGATAACCTCGACCTCGTACCCGCACTGCCGCGACCACTGCTGCATACGGCGCTGGACGTTGGCTGCGCGGCCAATCTTGAGGAGCATCGTCTTCTTGTCTTGTCGGTTCGAGGACGTCGACCGCGCATACGACGAGACGACATCGCTTGCGCGGCGCTGGCGGCCGGCTGCTGCTGCAGAGGGTGGCGCGAGAAGCGACCTAGCTGCGTCTACTGGCGGCGGCGACTTGTCGGTCGTGGGCGTCATCCAGAACATGTATATGTATCCTGCTTCCTCCGAATCAACGTACGGGCGTGCGAGTTCCGCCATCAGCGCCGACGCCGTCTGCGGATCGGTGTGATCTGGAATGAGCGACAGATACTGTCCCGTCTGGGATTTGGAGGACTTGGTCGAGAGTTTGCCGGGAGACTGCGTCGAGAGGTTGGTGGGTCGCGAGGCACTCGACGAAGCGCCATTGTGCTTGGAAGGTCGCGGTGTCGAGACGTAGCCCTGCTGAATTGGCTTCGGCTGTGGTCTCGCCGGTGGCTCGTCGTGGACCTCGTCGAGTGGGATCCGGAAGCAGAAGCAAAAGTGCAGCTCTTTTTTCGGTTTCGGCCGGCTCATGGCCGTGGCGGCCGGCGGAGGTTTGGCGTAGCCGTTGCTGTGGCTGTGAGAGGGCCTCGTGCTGCCATCGTGTCGTCCTGGTCTCGGCTTCTTCTTCGCTTGCTTTCTTTGCTCGAGCTCCACGAGCCCCAATCTGTCGGCGAGCGTGTCAACGCTGGTTCGCTCCTCGAGGATCGGTGTGGCGTTGCCCCGCGGGCCGGGACTCGAGTGTGCTGACATGGCCGCCTGGTCTCTGTGCTGCCAGCAATACAACGTCTCGTCGCGGGGGTCATCGTGTCTGATCTTAGCCCGGCGGGGTCGAGGCAGCAGCGTCTGGGCTGGGTCGACGGGTGCGGCCGTGATGGGGCGTCGACATGGGCGGCCGCTCGTGGTGATGCCTCGGCATGTTGTGGAGGGATTCTTTGAGTCGTTGCGCGCCACGAGCGACTCGGGCGTATTCGCGACAAAGGGCATTGTTGGCGTTCGAGTTTCAAGGCAAGTTTATGTAGGCCTGCCCTGGTGTTGAAGTTATCGCTAGCTTCCCATGTCGAGTTCAAGCACTGGTCGTAGAACAGGCCCAGACCATGGAGGGGCTCGTTGGAATGTCAAGAAGCAGGATAAATCAGGGCTGGGAGGGGGGTTGCTTGACCCAGTCACCGCGCATTCGTGCGCGTGAATCAAGGCCATCGCGACCTTGCATGCGACCATGGTCGTAGGGTCATGTCGTGACTGGTCTGATTCGGCTGCAGTGGGATGGAGGAGGTTGGGTGACTGGGGCACTGGTGCCTGGTCTTGACTGGGATTCAACATCTTGGGAGTGGCTGGGAGCTACACTGCCACAGTCCATGTGGCGCGAGGTTCACCGAACTCACCGGGCAATCCGACCCTCAATGCATCGGTGACCCTCAAAGCATCGGTGACCCTCAATGCATCGAATCTGCCCAGCAGACGTGGACACTCCTCCTTACCATTCACTCGGACCCTCCGTCTGAGGCTTCGCCCTCGGCCTCGGAATCCACGGGCCGCGACTATTGACCGAAAATGGCAACATCTTGCGCCGTCGCTGGGCGAAGCACCCCCGAACCAGTAGCACCGAAACGTGCCTCAATCTGGCAAGAAACGACTGGCAAGTCTCCCATGCACCGGAACGCCCAAGGCCCGATTGAACGCCGCCGTCGCTCACAAGCAGGTCGCCGCTGAGTGCTAAGCGGTCAGGGACTTGAAATCACAAGTGATGTCTGTGGCGTTGCTCGGCAGTAAGCCCTTGATCAGCAACAATGCTTGGACACCCGAATCGCCATTCAACACGACATGTTGCTGCGGCGGCTTACTCGGCGGTGTACTCTTCCTCAAGATCTGATGGGCCCCAAATATCGCCAAGGACAAGACGCGCCAGTCTTTGGCTTGCGCCTCCATGGTGTTTTGATTCCCCCAATGACCACATTCAGCTCCAAGATTGGAGATGGTTGACGTGACCAGTCCTCGCGGCACCTCGTCCCTCGACGCATCCTGTTGTGAGAAGCATCAGAGTAGAGCATGCTCTTGGCGTGTCACTCTGACCATTCCCAAGCAGCCCTCCATGTACTGCCACATGCACATGTACAACTTTCACTGTCAGCGACAAGTCTGAGTTCAAACTCTCGTTGCTACACACTGCATAGCCCTCCCCGGCCTAAATCGATATTGTGCTGTGCTCCAGCGAGTACGCGACCCGAACTCACCGAGGCGGTCCCGGGCCACAAACCCGACAAGATCGCAGTCCTCACAAAGCGAGGCAAGACTAGCACACTAACTAACGTGATCGTGCCTGCACCAGGCTACAGCCCAATCTGGCCGATCTCGCTAGAAAAGGGCTGTAGTTTCTCGTCAAGAATGAAATGCATGGCCTGCGCCGCTCACCTTGGCTGCAGTGCCGCGGCTCTGTTGACGTCGTCACGCTTGGCTTCTCATACCGCAGGATGAGATGCTGGGCTCGACTGTTGCGGTGGTATGTTTCGAGTTGGTGATGAGAAGTATGGCACCAACGAGTGAATCCTCTGTCTTGGTTGCGTATAAAGCTGAGAGCATCCGCGGTACGACACAGACAGCAGAACTGGTCTCATCTTCACATCTAGCCAAACTCACAATACAACGCGCCTTCACCTCGTTCACACTCTCAACATGTACACGAAGCACGGCGCTCGCCTTCTTCTTTCCGTCTCACTTCTTCTTCGGGCCGTCCTAGGAGTCGCAGCGGTCCAGGTCAGTCGACCTTGGACCCCGGCTGATGGCCACTTGGGCGACTCCAGCAACGGCTGTGATCAGAGTCCTCCCCTGCCACCTTCCGAAGTCGACGTCATTGTGGTGGGTGGTGGGTTTTCAGGCCTCACTGCCGCGTACGAGCTCCAACAGTCAGGCTACACCACACTCGTGCTTGAAGCGACGCACCTCCTCGGGGGCAAGTCCCGCTCGCAGAGACTCAAGATTGGTCCCGGCATTGCGGAACTCGGCGCCACGTGGATTAACAATAAGACGCAAAAGACAGTTTATGAATACAGCCAGCGCTTCGGATTCGACACTGTTGTACAGTACAACGACGGCGATACGATTTTCCAGGGCGAGGATGGCAGGGTAACCCGCTCAACTCCAAGTGATGATTCCGAGGTATGTTGTCATTCGTATCAGTCTTCACGCAACAAGCGATCAACTGTGGACAGCGGATGCTGACTGTACCAGCCCGAGGATTCTGAGCTCGCTCTTCAGGAAGCTGCCTGGTCACTCCTCATCGAAGAATCTGCCGCTAAGATTGACATCTCCGACTGGGACAGTTTCCCTGAGAAGAAGGACGTTTCATTTGCCGACTGGCTCGACATTTACAAGATGTGGGAGAAGCCGCACCTTCGAGCCCTCAGCCGTGGACTCTCAAGGGCCATCGTTGGACGCGAGCCCGAGGATATCGGAGCACACTATTTTCTCGACTACATCAAGTCGGGGGGTGGCCTTCGTAGTCTCATGTTTGAGGATCAAGAGGGAGCCCAGTTCCAGTGGATCAAGCAAGGTGAGTATCTCGCAAGAAACGTCGATTCTAGTATGATATTAATAATTAACGCGTTCCAAGGCACCACGGCCATCGCGACCAGTCTCGCAGAGGCCATGACCCCTGGGAGCGTACTCATCTACAGCCCTGTCCACAGCGTTGTCCAGCAGAGCGACATGTCTATTGTCACCATCGAGTCGGGCCAGTCTTTCCGCGCCAACAAGGTCATCATTGCTGTGACGCAGAACGTCTACAACAAAATCACCTTCTCCCCTCCCCTCCCCTGCGACAAGCGCAACCTCGTGTCTCACACAAAACCAGGGATCTACGCAAAGATGGCCCTTACCTATTCCAATTCTTGGTGGCGCGACGCCGGTCTCGTCGGCAAGTTTACCTCTCTCGCGGGGCCGGCTTGTTTTGGTTGGGAGATTTCAGATGCATCGCAAGACCTGCACGCCCTCATGGTGTTTATCGCTGGTAGTATCGCTGAGAAATGGGGCGCTCTGCCCGCGGACGAGAAGGAGACGGCAGTCATTGAGCACCTGGCTGAGATCTTCGGAAAGGAGCTTGCCAACGAGGCGCGAGACGTGCGTGAGGTCCAGTATGTCGAGTGGACGACGGAGGAGTACTTCCTCGGTGGACCGACGACCACTCTCGGGGCGGGCATGTTGCGCAAGTATGGCGCGGTGATGAGGGAGCCGTTTGAGAATTTGCACTTCGCCGGCACGGAAACTGCGTTTGAGTGGAAGGGGTACCTGGAGGGGGCAGTCACTGCAGGCCAGCGTGCAGCACAGGAGGTTGTTGATGGGTTGACGGAAATCAAGGAGGCTTAGCGTGTGATAAATTAATGACCAGCTGCCAATTCGCCATCTTGTTCGGAAGAGTCATGAAGCAGGCTGATCCGAGTATATCTACGGTTCCTTTCTATTTGCTAAGCTATCCGTGGTGATCCTGTCCGCCAGTTCGCCCACTCTCGACAGTTTTGGCCTCAAGACTTCGCCGTCCTCTGCAACTCCTGATGACGTGGGTTTAGTTATTGATCAGCGATTAATACAGCACGACTTGACTATCATGGCTCGACTGCTGTGTCAAAACTTATTTACCTCCCGTAAGAAGCCTGTATTACGGAATTTATAGCACCAATACGCCTTTTCTTCACGCACTGATCATTGAACACTGCTGTCTTGTCTACTGGGTTGTGTAAGAGAGTTGTTGAGCGAACCGCTCTATCTGCGCCGTGGGAGAGCACCATCCGATTCCCAGTCTAACACAATGCTTGTGCGTGGAGACACGGGAAAGGGGGGGGGCGTTCATGGACGAATATTCCTCGGCGAAGTGCATGTTACAACGCAACCGAGTTGTTAATGCACGAGAAGTCTGGTTAGTATTGGCAAGCATAACAAGGGGCTGTAGCTTCAACCAGTGAACCCTTAGTCTCCATGCCGAATTAAGTACCATGTGGTTTCGCTCGAAGGTCTTCTGTCAACAATCATGAATATATAGCACCTATTCGAGCTATTTCTTTCGGAAACCCAAAAACATGGAAATCGGCATCATCTTTTATTGCTTCTCCAAACCTCACTAGGGGTATCTCTCTTCTAAAAACATCCAGTCAGCCGTACTTGACTGGATCAATCATTTCTCCAGTGCCCTCAGGATAGGAATGCGAGTGCGGTTCAAGAAAGATTCCCTCGTTAGATTCCATTTTCAGACTGGCACACGCAGGCTTAAGGCTTTTGCTTCCGTGTTTCTCGATGCTGATGGACGCTTGGCGACTGCTGGCTGTTGCATCGGGCTTTGCTCGCAGCATCACGAAGACACCCATCCACTGATACAGTGATGAGGCCCAGATTGCGTCGTCTGATGTGCCAAGATATTTTGGCTTTTTCAGATAGGGCTCAAATACAAAGACCCATGGTCAGTTTCAAGGGCGCTCAGCCAAATTGGGAGACGCCGTGTTGGTCCCCGGAGGACAAACTGCGCCACAATTGACATACTCGGTGGCTGCATGTGGCGCGACATTAGCTGATTATGGACAGAAAAGTTTTCCCCGGCTAATCCCTTTATTCGAGACTGGACAGCCTCACCATCATTGCCGCCACTGTATCGTCTCATTCATTGTCGTTCCTTATCAATGTAACTGTAATTATTTGTTAGCCAACGGTGGCTTCCCATCTCCCTCATTTTGACCCGCCCACGCGTGGTTGGTAGCGCCCCGGGTGCACTAGCGACGGCGCAGTGCTGGACCGTCACCCCGGATTCGAGCTCCATTGCATGAATGCACATGACATCTGAGCGGGCCTGACCTATCAACGAGTAAAAGGCCATCAGGGCCATGTCGCTTCGCTACCACGTCGGCGCTGCCACGGGCTCCCAGCTCCTTGACCCGTGGGCTCATGGGCTCAGCGGCATGAAAGATGTCTTTGCGAGCTGGTCGAGATTGGACATCACTCAGATCGGCTCCCTCATCGCCATTGCCGGGACACTGCCGACGGCGTGGAGGTTCATCCACAGGATATGGTCCGAGGCAGCCGCCTGCGTCCGGCGCTTCTTCCTGGCCTCCGTCACGATCCCCGGCGGTGACCCTCTCAATGCGAGCGTCGTCAGATGGGTCCTCGAGAACCGTCCTCGGCACCACCGGTCTTTCACGGGACGGACCGACGTCGGACATGTCCACAGCGATAGGGGCGCGGCTCTGAAAAAGTCCCAGCAGTCTATCCAGTACTCGCCTCATTGGAACTCTCGCTGGATATGGTACGACGGAACCCTCATCATGGTCGCGCGCCGAATCGACGACTTCAACGCCTCCCTCTCCGACCCGAGGAACGACGGCATGGGCGGCGAGGAACTCACCTTGAGCTGTTTCGGCTGGTCCGCGGAACCCCTCAAGGCGTTTATTGAAGGGTGCCGCGAGTATTCCGAAAAGCAGACGCAGTTCTTCGTCATCATCTACTCTCGCGACCGTTACGGCCTGGCCTGGCAGCCCAAGGCCAGAAGACCGATCCGGCATCTGGAGACGGTGCACTTCGACACCAATCTCAAGCAGGACCTCTTGGCCGACATACGGAACTACCTCGACCCCAAGACGAAGAGGCGGTACCAGAGCCGCAGCATGCCGTATCGGAGGGGCTATCTCTTCTACGGGCCGCCGGGGACCGGCAAGTCGTCCCTGTCGGTGGCCCTCGCCGGCGAGTTCGGCCTCGATCTCTACGAGGTCAAGATCCCCAGCGTTGCGACGGATGCGGATCTCGAGCAAATGTTCCAAGAGGTGCCACCACGGTGCGTCGTTTTGCTAGAGGACATCGATGCCGTCTGGGTCGACCGCTCGAACCCACGGCCCAGCAGCCAGGACGGCAACATGACGCCCAACTGCACGCTGTCCGGTCTCCTCAACGTCCTGGACGGCGTCGGCTCGCAGGAGGGCCGCATCGTCATCATGACGACCAACAGGCCCGAGCAGCTTGACAGCGCGCTCGTGCGGCCGGGGCGCGTGGACATGAAGGTGCTGCTCGGCAACATCAGCCAACGGTCGGCCGAGGAGATGTTTGTCCGCATGTTCTCGCCCGAGCTCGGCTGCACGACACCCCTGGAGATGGACGAGGTCAAGCGTCTCGCCGCTCGTTTCGCTGCCGAGGTGCCGGAGGACTTGTTGACGCCTTCCCAGCTGCAGGGCTTCTTCCAGCTTCACCTGGAGAGCCCGCATGACGCTGCGAGTAGTATCAAGTCGTGGGTCGAGACGGAGCTCGAGAGGATGCCGGAGAAGAGCTTTGAGCTCGTCAGCGGCCGCAAGAGCCCTTCCAGCACACTGAGGTAGAGCGAACTGGATAGATTGTACAACATGTGTGTAGACGGTTTTGTATTTTGCATAATGGATGGAATTTCGGGTGGCTTTGTGGTTTCTTGGGGGTTTTTTTTTTGCTTACTAGAGATGGGCTTTGGCACCTAATCAGCGTGTTTTCATTGCAACCTTGATCTGTTCATGCTCGATCGATGTATGAGCTTCCGAGTCTTCCATGACGGAAACATTGTAGCACAGCTTTCGGTGATCTGCACGGTTAGGGTCTTTACCGGCCGGCCTCAAGCCTTCACTAGGGATCTAGTGGACGTTGGAATCAACCAACGCCGTTCCCTGAAACAGAGATCAAGGTTGATGCTCACGAAAGAAAGTTTGCCCACTACACACAATGACGAGCTAAAGAAGCTATAGTGGGGTCCAGCACCCTGCGTGCGGGGAAGGTTGGAGGCGGGTCGCACCTGGGGTAGCGACCCCCATCCTGGCCCCTGCCAGTTGCTCACTGCTTGAGGTCATGAACATCTGCTCGTTGGACTCGTCGTCCTTGGACTTCTTCTCGTTTCCTCTCTTCTGCCTCATAACATGACCCCTCTGATGCCGAAGACCTTTCAATCTGACGACTTCTTGATCTGAAGAAACAAACGCCATGACGAAACGCCCTTGGGCCGAGACCGAGGGTACAGAGTGGCAACCACAATCGCAGGGTCCAACCCAGCATCAGCGCTTCTCCTCTTCAGGCTCTCCACAGTTGATGGCCCAAGGTGTAGCACCTGCGACTCACTGCCAACCACCATCCAAAGCAAACCCACAGCGCAGCAGCCCGGCGACAAGTCCGACTACCCAGATGACACTTGGTCTGAACAATGGCGCTGGTGTCTCTGACCATTCGATTCCTCAAATCTCACGCAAGATCAAGGCGTGCGGCGCATGTCGAAGACACAAGGTGAAGAACCTCCTGGCTGTTTACTGAAGGAACGCAACTGACCCGGCTCAAGATCAAATGTCTGATGGACGACAGCGGGCCACCGTGCCGCCGCTGCGCAGAGCGAAACCTCGGATGTGTTCTCGGCAAGAACCTGCAGAGCATCATTGACGAAAAGTCGCAGTACACCGACGCTGTGCTCCACGACCTGGATGCCCTCCATGCTACTCTGCGCGACGTCACGCAGAAGCTTGGCCTTTCGGAGCCACAACCCCTCGAAACGAGTGGGATGCGTGATGCCGCCGGAAGTTCACCGGTCGCCACAGAGCGTCAACCCCGAGCTACGAATGGCACCACCACCACCACCACCACCACCACCACCACCAACAACAACAACGGCAGCACGAACAACAACCGCCCCGCTCCATCCGACAATCATGTCGGCCCCTCGTGTGACAACTCACCCAAGATCTCGCCCGAAGACGAATCCCACCTCCCCAACGTGCCGATCCACTCCCTGTACGCCCTTACAAAGCTGCGGGCTTTGCGACCTGATAGCCCTGACGAGCACCGAAGCCGACTTGCCGACGACTTCATCGCTCGAGGTGCCATATCCCTGACCACAGCAGAACGTCTTTTCTGTCTGTACCGAGATGAATTGGACTTTTACATATACCGTGTGGGATGCCGCTATCAGACTCTCGATGAGCTACGCCGAAAGAGTTCCGTCCTGACAGCCGCGACCCTGACAGTCGCAGCGCTCCACGAACCTGCGGCGGAAGCCCTGTATGGAGTGTGCAGCGCAGAGTTCCGTCGCCTCATGGAGAAATCCATGTTTGACCGACGAGTTGACCGGGATTACATCCGTGCCATGGCTGTTGCCGCCTACTGGCTCAGCGACATGTCGTGGATGATCTCGGGGTATGCTATCCGACGAGCGTCCGAGTGCAACCTTCACAACTGTCACAGCCAAGCTATCGAGAAGCAAAGCCAAGAGGCCGCTGATGGTGCGAGGCTCTGGTATATTCTCAACATTTGCGACCAGCACCTTGCCACTCTGTACGGTCGACCAGCGATTGTGCACGAAGACTCGTCAATGCAGGGCTGGGAGAGCTTCCTAGAATCTCCCGTCTCCAATGCCGAAGACAAGCGCCTTGCGAGCCAAGTTGCGCTACTCGGGATTCTCGGAAGCATACGGGAGCTTTTCGGCCCTGACAAAGGCCAACCTATACCCAGGGCATATCTCCATCAGATCGCCCACTTCAACAAGCAGCTGGACCACTGGATAGGCCACTGGTCAGGTGTCCTACGCGGTACGTATCGGCCTGATCCTCAGACGATCATATGTCGCTAACACCGCAGACCAATATTCAGGCCTCGGGCGGTTTCCTAGCAAGGGTGCTCTTTTGCATTTTCACTTTGCCAAGTTGCATTTGTACTCTCACATCTTCCGTGGCTCTTCGGGCGAAAACCCCATTCCGCATTATTTTCTGGATGGCACCGCGACAGCCATTGCTGCCGCCACATCCACGATCGAATTCATCCTCACCGATCCCGACGTATCAGCAAGCGTGGTGGGCCTACCCTCTTACCTCCACTGCATGACGGCCTTTGCTTGCATGTTCTTGATCAAGGTCTCTGTCAAACACGGCGGCGATCTGATCGAGCCCCAGCGCGTCTGGGACCTGACAACACGACTCGTTCGCCATTTTCGTTCACTGCCGACAGGGCGCTGGCACCTGGCGAACCTCATGGCGCCGGGGCTCGAGAAGATGGCCGCAACGCTGAAGCCACACGTCCAAGGCCAGGCAATGATGCAAAATGGCATGGCTGGGTGCGAAATGACCAGCGGGGTGCTGGACGCGAGCGGTCAGCCCATGATGCCAGTCGCCGACCCTTCTTTGATGGGCATGGAAGGTGACATTTTGTTTGATTTTGATATGAGTTTTGGACTATCGCCAGTGTTCCGCTTTGATGCGGCCACAATGGGGATTGAGGGCTTGCAGGAGTTTGCGAACGTCGAGTATTCCACACAACCTCAAGCCTGAGATATGGTAATAGGACAAGCGCATATGGTTATGATATTCGGAGACAATATTGAAGACACGGATATGATTCTCACCGTGTTTTGTTCGATACGTGTCCGCACATGGAGCATGTTGTCTCTCGCTTCACATGCCCTGGATCGCCCTCGGTCGGTACTCGCTTTCCAGATACTCAACCTCTTCGTCAGTCAACTTCAGCTTCAAAGCCTCACCAGCCTCCATCACCCTCTTGGCAGAACTCAGACCCAGAATCGGCCAACAGTCTTGCCTCAGCACCCACGCCGTCGCCACAACAGCCATGCTAACGCCCCTCTTCTTCGCAACCTCCTCCACCCTCCCGACAATGTCCAAATTTGCATCCGCAAACCACAGATCTTTCTTCTTGTCCATCTTGCTCCGCACCGACTCCTCGCCCAGCGGCTTCGCCAGCAGGCCCCTGGCAATGGGACTCCACGGAATGACGCCGACACCGCTCGCGCGGCAAAAGGGCAGCATCTCGCGTTCATCCTCGCGATAGAGGAGATTGTAGAAGGGCTGCATCGAGATGAACTCCGTCCAGCCGTGTGCGCGCGCGACGTACTGCAGCCGGGCAAACTCCCAGGTGTACATGGACGAGGCGCCTAGGTAGCGGACCTTGCCAGACTGGACCACGTCGTGCAGTGCGCGCATGATTTCTTCGGGGGGCGTCTCACGGTCGAGGCGGTGGATCTGGAGAACGTCTGGGTGTGTTAGTCTTTTTCTACCTTGTGCGCGGCTCGGCAAGGAGGGCGAGGGGACGCACCAATGTAGTCTGTGCCCAGCCGCTCGAGGCACCTGTCGACGGCGTGGAAGATGTGCTTGCGACTGAGACCCATGAGATTGACCAATGGCCCGTCGTTGACGCTCGGCGGTCCCGAGTCGTCGTCCATGACGGGGTTGAAGATCTTGGACAGTATGACGACCTTTTGCCGCGGAATGTTGAATCTCTTGAGCGCCTTGCCGATGATCACCTCCGACTGGCCGTTCGAGTACGTGTCGGCCGTGTCCCAGGTGTTGATGCCCGCGTCGTAGGCGGCCTTGAGGAGCTCGAGCCCGTCTTCCTCGCCCAGGGTCCAGGGGGAGGATTCCCATGTGGGGGAGCCGAAGGTCATGCAGCCGAGGATGATCTTTGAGACTTTGAGGCCGCTTGTGCCGAGTCTGTCTTTTTTGGTCAGACGGGATAGAATAAATGTGGCGGCTTCACTTGCCTGACGTATTCCATATTCGCGGACATGGCGTCTGGATGCGATTGGGCTTGGTAGACTGGGTGAAGCAGTCTTCGCGACGCCCTCTCCTCGTCGTGATTTGCGCGGGGTCTTCTTCACCCCAACGAAGGACCCCCACTCCCGCTCACTGTGAAGAACGATGACGACAAGGGGGACAGTCTTCCAGTGGTGGCAGATCTGCAATTGTCCGCCGAATGCTGTCTATCGGCTTTGTCTCCGAAGCCCGTGGTTGGGGGCCGGCATTGTGGCCGATGTACTCCAAATGGGGGTTTTGCGACATGATGGAGGGTCAGCTTTGGAGAAGTGCCCCCGGGGACCTTGACGCGCCGGCTGCCGTTGAAGTTTGGCCGAGGGAGGAGGGGTTCATGGCCGATATTCGCGATGGTTGATGCACTTTCTGAGAGGTTCATCACACCGAAGCCGCTTGAATTTCATCTGAATATTCATCATTGTCGAAATAATCACGAGTGCCATCTCTCCAGAGCTCCCCATACATGCGAATATCCGCACCATGGCCGACATCCTCATCACCGGCGCCGCCGGCTTCATCGGCCAGGACCTCGTATCTGCCCTCCTGGCCGCAGACCCGTCTACGCGCCTCACCCTCACAGACGTAGTCGAGCCTCCCGTTCCCGCTGGCGCGGCTTCCCACAGCGATCGCATAACTTCTCTCAAGGCCGACCTCACATCTCCCGCGGCCGTAACCTTGCTTCTCTCCCGCCCCTTCACCGCAGTCTACCTCCTCCACGGCCTCATGTCCGGCGGCGCCGAAGCAAACCTCGACCTCGGCCTCAAAGTCAACGTCGACTCCGTCCGCACCGTCCTCGACCACCTCCGCACCGAGTACCCCGGCACAGTCGTCGTCTTCACGAGCTCCTGCGCCGTCTACGGACCCGCGAGTCCCGTCCGCGAATCCGAAACCCTGCCGCAGCCCCGCAGCTCGTATGGAGCCGAGAAGCTCATCATCGAGCTGCTGCTCAACGACTACTCGCGACGCGGGCTGCTGGACGGGCGCATCGTCAGACTGCCGACCGTCATCGTGAGGCCCGGGGCCCCCTCGGCCGCGGCGTCGAGCTTTGCCTCGGGCATCGTGCGGGAGTCGCTGAACGGGGAGAGGAACGTGTTGCCCGTTGCGCGGGATTTGGAGCTGTGGGTTTGCAGTCCCAAGACGGTGGTTACGAATCTGGTCAAGGTCAAGGACGTACCGAGGGAGGCGTTTGGGGAGTCGAGGATTGTTAATCTGCCGGGCATTACCGTGACGGTGGATCAGATTCTGGACGCACTGGAGTCGGTGGGCGGCAAGGAGGCTGTGAGTCTCGTGGAGGAGAAGAGGGATCCTGTCATTGAGAGGATTGTCAACTCGTGGCCTTCGCGGTTTGATGTTAGTCGAGCTTATGGTCTGGGCTTGGAGGCTGATGGGGATGTGCTCGATGCTGTCAAGGCGTTTGCTGCGACGTTGGAGGCATAGAGTTCATGTGCTGGGCTGCGTGGAAGCGCAGTGGTACTATAAATCAGGAAGGCTTTGCTGGGAAAATGTGTGAGAATCGCTCCAACGTTCGACAAATGCTTCATGTTTGCTTACCGTCGGTAAGACATTTTCTTGCTGCAAGTATGATTAAGTAACTACGGACGCCACGGTCGAAGAGCCTGGTGGTGACGAACTTCCCGATTACGTCTCGAGGAATATCTTGGATAGGTATCATGGGATGGTTAATTTCGCGAACTCTATATCTTTGCTACCACTGCTCTTCTGTACTTTCGTCCCGGCTCGCTCTGCTCTACGGGTGCCACAAGATGATCAATGTCACGCGTATTGACCAAAGCCGGGGTCGCTTCATCCAGACTTGTAATTCCACAAAGTCTCATTGATGTTTCCAATTCGTCTTTGAGTACTGGAAAGGGTAAGCAAGTAATTCGAGATTTTAGTCGCACGTCACACTTACTTTGAACTAGATGTTCTACGCCTTCTTGGCCATATACCAACGAATACAGTGTGGGCCGGCCGATGCCCACCGCCGTCGCTCCCAGCGCGATAGCTTTTAGTATGTCTGACCCTCGCTCGAAACCGCCATCAACGTAAACCTCAAGCTTTTCAAAAACCTCTGGGCACTGTTTTCGCAGCTCCAGCAAGACCAGGATGCTTGCTTGAGATCTGTGAATGGTTCATTAGCTCCGACCCAGGCGTGAAGTGGCGACAACGTACCCATCGAGAGATCGACCACCGTGGTTGCTCAGCAGAATTGCATCTACGCCATAATCCACAGCCATCTTGGCATCGTCTGCGGTCTGCACACCCTTGAGGACAATGGGCACACCACTCGCCTCTCGTATCCATGACAGGTCATTCCATGTCAGAGACTTGTCGATGTATTGCGCCATCAGACGCCCCAATCCACTTCCCTTCTTGTCCTTGCTGCTCTCGCCGCCACTGATGGCGGATCGTACCGTCACAGCCTGCGCGGCCCGTTCGTCTGCTTCACGTTTGCCTGGAACGGGTGCGTCGACCGTTAAGAATATGGCCTTGATACCTAGGGAGCGTGCCGAATTGAGGATTTCGATCGTTTTCTGTCGTTCGGAGTTGATGTACAGCTGAAAAAAGAAGGGCTGTGTTGCTGGTGCGGCTGTCATGATGGAGCGCAGTGTATAGGAAGCGTTGCTTGAGATCTAAGGATGCGAGACATGACTTAGCATTGACAGCCCCAATTTCAGGGCAGCAAGACGTACACTTTGGATGATACCTTCGTTGGCAGATGCACGGCTCAGAGCTAGCTCGCCGTCAGGATGAACCAGACGTGCCATCGCAGCAGGGGCGATGAAGAACGGGGCTGTACTCGGGAAACCGAGAATACTGGTTTTCATGTTGACGCTGGTGACATTTCGAAGTATCCTTGGACGTATCATGATCCGTCGAACAAGTTCTTTGTTCTTACCGTGCGTAATGAGGTCTGTGGCTGCGGAAGAGTAAAAGGCCCACGTCTTCGGTGTCAGTGCCTTGGACGCCACAACCTCAAAGTCGGCTGCGCTGAGCACAGATTCAAGAGGAGGAACTTCATTTGTCGGGGCTGTCGTCGTGTCACGCTCGGCGGCGCACTGAGCGGCGCTGGCGGAGACATCAGAACTGGGCTCCTCAAGGAATCCCTTAAATTTCTCCTTTGGCAGCTCCTCAATGATATCGGGTGCGTGGACTTGGTCGAAGGATTTTGTTGCATTAGACCCAGCACACCTGAGAAGGACTGCTAGTGTTAACACAGTCAAAGCTGACAGAAAGACTGTTCTTACCCGATGGTCCTCCCGGATGCTCGCCAATAAAGCCCGTAATATCCCATACCTTGTTGTGGACTGCGATCCAACAGTCGCTCGAAGAATTGTGCTTATTGAGAATGTCGAGTGTGATGATTGGCTTTTTGCTTGGAATGCCTTCTGGTGTCATACTCGAAGCCATAAGATAGTCGGTTGACTACGGCAAGCACTCGTTGCAGCAAAGAATCGGAGGTGTAGTGGTGTGGAAGCATCGAGTTGCTCTCGGGTTTTTTACCAGTTGATCAAGGGACATATAGACGCTGCAAAACGAGGCTCCATAATAGAAATGCTACAGGCTGGATTTCGATGTCTTAATTGCGTTTGTCAGTGTTCAGTTGCCTGAATGATGGGCGCTCGGAACCCCGGAGATGGCCCCGAACGCACAACTTGCTCTCCACAGAAGCGGAATCCCCAACCGGCATTGTCACCGATGACAAGGAGCAGCCCATATCTTACCAACAGACCGACGAGTTCCCTTGTGAGCCTCTTGCATCGGACTGTCTTTCACTCCATATAGCCATACTTCCACTGGAAAACTCAGCCCAACAAAGTATCACTAACCTGCGCGCCGAAATGAGCCCTTCAAGGACAACGCTCTGTCACTCCAATGCTCCCTTGCGACTCCAGCACACAATGCCTTCCAGCAATATTGCTTCTAAATTCAACCCACTTCCACCGGGAGTTTACACGCCTGTCGTCACTATCTACGAGGCAAACGATCCATCGCAACAAGTAGACTATGGTGCCATGTATGTGCAGTGCCAGGGCCTCATCAGTGCTGGCATTCACGGCCTAGTCTATCTCGGCACCAACGGCGAGCTCGCCCTCCTGACACCTGAGGAACGCAAAACTATTATTCAGACTGCGGCGCGAGCGATTGCCGACCTCAAGAGACCCGATTATCCTCTTGTCGCAGGCATCTCCGCCCAGTCAACGTTCGAAACGATCCTCAACGCAGAAGACGCAGCGAGTGCTGGCGCCAACTTCGCGCTGCTGTTACCTCCGAGCTACTGGGTTAAGGCCCTATCAAGCAACGCGTTGCTGGCCTACTATCGCGCCGTAGCGGATGCGTCGCCGATTCCGATCATTGTCTACAATTTTCCCGGGGTCACTGCCGGTATTGATCTTGATTCGGATCAGATCGCGGCCCTGGCGTCCCATCCCAACATCTCGGCAGTCAAGCTTACGTGCGGAAACGTGGGGAAGCTTACACGTCTCACGAGCAAGTTCAACCACGACCAGTTTGGTGTCTTTGGTGGCAGCAGCGACTATCTACTGCCAACGCTCCATGCGGGCGGCAGTGGATGTGTCACGGGCCTGGGCAATATTTTTCCGGGCTGCACGTCAGCGGTATATGACTTGTTCCAGGCAGGCAGGGTGGATGAGGCAAAAAAGCTCCAGGATGACGTGGCCAATGCAGAATGGGCATGCAAGAAGGGCATTGCTTGTACCAAGTATGGAGCGTGGTACTATTTTGGTAGAGGCCGAGGTTTGGACAACGAGGCCTCCTGGAACATGAGAAAGCCATATGAGCCTCTGGGGGACGCCATGAAACAGTGGACTTTGGAGACCTTAGCAGTGCTAGAGAGGGCTGAGAGGGAGAGGCCTTGGGATAGGTAGGTTGCAGAGTTTTCATCAGCAGTGTCATATTGCATTATGAGCTGAGGCTTTTTCCAGCCATGGAAGCTTCAGCAATGAGCGATTCAGCCAAAGAGCTCGTCATTTTTTCCGTACAAACTCACCATTTGCATGGTTGCAACCCATTCAGGAACCTCAATAGCTGTCAGAGCGTTGTTGAGAACAGAGTGAAGAGGTCTTCCGCACGCAGTTCGCAGATGATAGAATATAGGTAGGGAGTTGGAACACGTCTGAAATCTGGCCCTCCGCAGCCTGTAGATACGTTTTCTCGTAGCCCTTGGCCCCTGACCGACCCCCTGCTTGGCAGCTCCTCAAGGTCGCTTGACAATAGCACCTCGGACAGGATTGTTTCCAGTATTGAGGCCGCCAGACCAAGCTACAAGCCGTACGATGATCAGAGTGAGCTCATAGAGAGAGTGTCACTACTTGATTTGGAGGAGAGTCAAGAGGCGTCCTACAAATAGTCCGCAGCAGCAGAATATAGGCAGGGATTCGGAATACATCTGAATTCTGGCCCTCCCCAGTCCTCAAATAAATGTTTTCGTAGTTCTTAGCCCCTGGCCGACCCCCTGCTTTGCCCCCCTATTCAGTGGCTCCGCAGGGCCACCTAACATATAACGACCAGCTGTGCGCTTCCTCGGCCTCAAGCATTGTCCACCCAACGTTCAACGTTTTCAATCCGAACATACTTGATGTGCTGGCGATGGAACGTGAAAGCAATATGAACAGGCGCATGTGAGACATCTTGCTCGGCCCAGATACTGGGATAGCTCAGCTCCCTGTTCATTTTCTTCTCCGAGTTGTTTGTCATGCAGAATCCATCGCCATCCTCCAGAACCCGTGTTGTCCATGTGATGCCCTGGTCTGAGGAGATGCCAACTGTCAAGGCCTTGCGAGGGGTACCCCAGATGGCGGATTTACCATTCACGGATACCTGGTTGGGTCGTTTGTCGTCTTCGGGGGTAATATCATCGTACAAACCCTCCCGTCTAGCCATATTGGTCACAGCAGCGGAATCGTTGAAGACGATTGCAATGCTTCCTGATGCAAGACGGGCAGCGCATATTCCGCTGTTGGGATTTGGCAGACTGTTGGGCTCCGGAGACGTCCAGTCAATTCCATCTGTGGACGTGGACCGGTACACCTTATCCGCCCATCGACTCCGGAAGAAGGCAACATATTGATCTTGTCCCCTGACAGGCGGCACAATATTCATGTGAACCGCGCCAATCCCTCCAGGGACTCTCTTTTCCTCCCAGGTCACACCATCGTCGCGTGAGAAAAGCACAGCAGAGATGTCATCATTTCCTATCCATCTCTGTCCTGCGGCGGATCGGCAGAGGAAGACGGGTAAAACCCATGTTCCATCTTTGAGAACAACGAGTGGCTGGCGTACGAAAACCCCCTTCAAGTCTTTAAAGGGGTATCTAGGGTCCGACCAGGTGACGCCATGGTCACTGGATGTCCGAACCATAACCAATGCACCGTCCTGGTTTCCGGCATCTTGTGACGTGTGGAAGAGCCATATGTGACCAGTCCTAGGTGCTCTAAAAAGCACAGGGTTTTGACAACTGCGGCCCGTGTCCGATGAGATCTTCTGCGGCGGAGACCATTCATTTGACCCTGGGGTTTGACGCGATAGCCAGATACCGATGTCAGGTAACCCTTCCTGGGAGCCGCCGAACCAAGCACAGAGAAGAGTTTTGTCGGGCAATTGAAGAAGGTTGGAGGCATGGGATTGGACAGTAGTCGCCGGTAGTGAGTCGGAGTGAACGAGAGAGGACGCCATCTAGTTGATAGCCGTCGTGATTTGATACACAGCTGATTTTCTTTAATCAGAGGCGTGCTCAATGGAACGGTCAGTGATAATCAGGTGTCTTTTATTATTAATGTGCTGTAGCCCGAGGATATGCGTACTTCGCATCAGGTCTGAGGATGACGACTGATACGACTAGCATCTGGCACATGCTAGTCGCTGAAAAGCTACGATTCATGACTGAAGCTAAGGTTCTGTTCCAGTGACATTGCCAGATGGAACTCCACCCTCAGAGTGATCTGGCTGCACGTTCCAGTCGATTTCGTCATACCTGCTGCTCATTGGACGACTGGGCAATCTCGGACGCAAAGCCGTGTCTTCGAGGACGGTCGGCATTGTGACCGATGCGGCAGACGGCACCCAGAGTTCGAGCGGTTTGCTTTGAGGCGCCTCCGGCGCCTTGGCCTACTACCTGGAATATGCGGGGAAGCTTCCCACGGGGTGATCAACTTACCTAGTCATTGACTGGGATTGGCGGACATCGGGATATATGACTGTTCTGCTTCAGCATTGCTAACAAGAGCGTCGTTAGATACGATCTCGTTTCTATTCACTGAAATCATGTCTACATAGGCCCATGCCTTTTTATCAACACACAACTTCTCTCGGATACCAACTGTAACTTTCGCAGTCATGGGCGGTGGCACTTCACTGTGGGCATCTCCAGAATGGAAGAATGACCCTAAAGAGATCTTTAACCGGAAACTTCTTCTTCTTGGCGTTACCATTGCCATGGCGGGTTGCTCCTACGGTTTCGATCAAGGAAACATCGGTGGTGTCATGACATTTGTCTCTTTTCGAAAGGCCATGGGATTTGACGACCTGCAACCATCAGAGGTGGACCAACGAGGTAAATTAAGCCTGTAACAAGAACGAATAATTAGCAATACTGACCATAGCACACAGAGGGAAATATTGCTGCTATGTGTAAGTGCTCCTGGAAACTATATTCGCACCTTCTGACACGGAGTCGAAAGTGGCCGCAGGTGGCTCAGCCGGTGCATTGCTCGCAGCACCATGTGCCGATTTCCTGGGAAGGAAGAGGTCCGTGACAATCATGTCCGGCTTGTTTTTGATCGGATGTGCCATGCAAGAAGTGCCTCATTTGAACGTGCTGTACGCTGGAAGACTCCTGGCTGGCATCGCGATCGGTGCGACCTCAATGGTGAGTGTTCTCAGGCCACGCCAGATTTACTGTTTAGCTTACCATGCAAATTTGCAGTTAGCGCCTCAGTATCTCGCAGAAAACTCGCCAAAGACTATTCGAGGTTCTCTCACAACATCTTACAACCTCATGATTGTACTGGCGCTCTGCCTGGCCTTTTGGGTCAACTACGGGGTGAGCTTGTGGCCTGAGCAGAACCCAAACGATAACACTTCTTGGCAATTGGCTCTGGGTATTCAATTGATACCAGGATTCTTTCTCTTCTGTCTTATCTGGTGTAAGATTTCATCAGGTTGTCTTGTCGACGGGTCCAGCTGACGACATACTAGTTGTGGTCGAAACTCCCCGTGCTCTCATCTCGAAAGGAAAGAAAGATCGCGGACTAGAAAACCTTTGCAAGCTACGAGGCCTGCCAGCGGATCACCCCTATGTTCACCAAGAATACATGGAGATCAATGCCCAGGCCGAATATGAACAAAGCCAATACAAAGGTAAGCCGCATCAGCAGATGGAAATCAAAGATACAAGCAGACAAGAGGTGCTGACATAACCAGGCTACAACTACATTGCCGTTTTCAAGGATATTGGCACGAATGCCAGCAATCGGCGTCGCTTCTTCCTCGCCGTCATGTTGTTTATCTTCCACAAAGGCACAGGAACAGATTCGCTAAATTACTTCGCACCTGAGATTTTCGCCATGATCGGCGTGCCTCGTGGCTCCAGCTCTCTGTTGACTGTTGGCATCTATGGTCTTGTCAAGTTGGTTGCGACAGTGATTTACGTCACTCTCATTGTTGACCGCGTTGGACGGCGCCTTCCACTTATGATCGGGGCAACAATTCAAGCCTGCGCCATGCTTTACATTGGGCTTTTCATCCGCTTTGCCAGTCCCGAGGCTGGTGGTGGTACCTCAGCTGGCGGCTACGTTGGAATCATCTGGTCAGTGACGACTACGTTTCGCACAATTGATAGCGAGATGAATGCTGATCAAGAACAGGATTTATCTTTACGCTGTCGGATGGTCTTTTGGTCACTGTGTGGCTCCGTACGTTGTTGCTGCTGAAATCTTTCCGGCTCGTATCCGATCGGTCTGCATGTCGTTCTGTCTGTTCACCAACTGGATTGTGAACTATGGTATCACTTCTGCAACGCCCCACATGATGCGCACTATGGGCTACGGAACCTTTCTCTTCTTCTCTGTCATCACGTTCATTGGTGTCGGTTTCGTTTACTTCTGTTTGCCCGAGCTGAAGGGCAGGAGCATGGAGTCTATGGACGACCTCTTCTCGCATTCGCTGTGGTCGATGTTCCGGCGGGTGTATCCTACGAGCGATGAACTGGTACGTCACGATGTTCAGGAACAGCTTGCTCGAGAGGATAAGAATGACGGCACGCACGTTTCGATGGTTGAAGAACAGGAGGCGGGGAAGCGGGTATAGATCCACAAGTTTCCGAGACCTGGGGGTACCAGGATAACAGGGTGGTACATTTGATGTTAGCTGTGATACAAATGGCATAAGGAGATCGCAGATACCCCTGGTAGGTTGAGATGTTGATATCGGTTGCCCTTCAAGATGGAGGTAATCAAGAACATTGCTCAGCTGATGAACAGCCGCAGAAACTGCAAACCCCGACGATTGATTGAGGGCTTACAGATTTTTATATGAACAGCTGCATCATGAAGAGGTCTGGCGTGAAACCTGAGGCCGTATCGACTTCCATCAAGGCCGAGCTCGAGTGAACCTTGAACAATCAGAAATCACAAGGCTAAGGAAACTCTCAGTACTGTTAATCTTGCTATCCTGCCAAAGTCAAGTCATGTCATAAAAGAATGTTGCCCTAATGGCAACGCCCTCCTAGCTATTTAAGTCGCAAACCTAGTCCCACCCAAGCAAGCCCATGACAGGGAGAGTCTTATCAGCAGCCTCAATCTTGCTTCTCATAGCTTTCAGCTCATCAACATCCCAATTGACACACACAAACTTCCCATTCAGGAATTTCGCTTCATCGCTCGTAGCCCAGACAGCAAAATCAGCAGGCAGGCTGATATCATCAAACGCCAGCCCTAGGTCAACGGCTTTATGCCCAAACTTGGCAGCCATGGCCGTGCCCCCAATGAGACCAGGATGAATTTGCAGCACGAAGAGATTCGGGTTTTCGTGATGGAAGTACTCAAACAACTTGGTGCCCCCCATCTTGGAAGCTCGGTACCCCGAAAATGTTTCCATGTATGGCAAGTAGACTGCTGCCGTCGAGACGTGGATGACAGCCGCACCAGGGGCAGCGACAGGGAGAAAGGCGCGAAGAAGGTTAAAGTTGCCCTTGATTGCTACTTCAAAGGCGCGCCACCAGTCATCGGGTTTGGCTTCAGCAATGGTCGTCAGGTCAGGCATGTAGGCGGCGTTGGCGATGAGAATATCGATTTTGCCTTCGATAGCCTCGGTGTAAGCTTCGAGGGCAGCATCAACTGCAGAAGCGTCGGCGACATCAACAACGTAGATGTGGATCTTGGTGCCTGTTTTCAAAGCCTCGATGCTGGCTCTGGTAGTCTCAAGAGCTTTGAAAGTGCGGCCAAGGAGGGCCAGATTCGCGAGATTGGATTGGGCGAGAGACTTGGCTATTGCGCTGCCGATTCCAGGACTGGCAGCCCCAGTGATCAGAGCATTTTTCCCGGAGGTAGAGAGCTCTGGACGAAGAGGAGAAATGGCTTTGTACGTCTTGGTGCGGTAGATTTTGGTGGGATTAGGAGAAGCCATGGTACCGGGTTGCAGGTAATGTAGCGGAGAGGTACTTTGATGACTGCGTCAGAGATCGATGATGGCAGAGTGAGTGCTCAAGCTCTCTTCTTCATTGCCTTCGAGTGAGAGTTTTCTTTCCTTTATACGCCAGTGCATGGCAGCAATCCTTTGCTCACAACCATGCGATGGTGGCATGATTGGCATCTCTGATGATGAATCCTGTGATATGACGAATGCTCGGACGCATCAGAAACAGCCATCACTCTCAGTCTCTGCACTCTATCAAAGCAAGCAATGGATATCCTCTATACCAAAGTTCCTCCGATTATACGGGTGAGACGGATCAGATCGTAAGGCTCCGGCGTGGTCGCCTGGTTGGCAACGTTATGATAACGCTTCACGGTGTCATATTTGCTCCGTGTCGATTATTAATGGCAAGTGGATACTCTGGTCTGACGCGCACTGCCACCAACCTGGAATTTAATGGCGGCCAACATGATGCCCGCCTCAAACCTGAGTAACGTTATGAACATTTGGACTCCAGCCCTACGATCAATCAAACAGGATGGCGAGCCGGGACAACAAAGCTGCCGACGTAAGTGCATTGCCAAGTCAACCCATCTGCTTCGGATGATCATCAGCAACGGTGATAACCAAGGTAACAGGCAGCAAGTCGCCGTGAAAGGGGAGTGATCGCCCAGCGAGAGTATCGAAAGCGCCACGCGAATAAGGTTCAGATTCTGCAAGACGAGAACACAGCTCTGAGGAAAGCCATCGAAGATATTGACACTGCTCTCAGGAGTCGGGGGCTACTTGTCGGCGACCTCAGTAAAGTTCTGAATCGTGCTCGTCAAGCGGCTGGATTACCCGAGCTACAGGCGTATTCGGAGCTCGGGATCCTACACGAAGCAGGGCTCTCAAGCAGCGCCCAAGCTCAGCAGCAGATCCCTGAGCCAAACCCCCACGACACGCCCATTCAGGCTGTGTCTTCGGTCCCGCAAGGCCTGTCTCACGTTGTAGGGCAGCATCAGGGCCACTGGTCAGTCCTATCGCTGGGAAGCGGCCGCATGAGTCCACGTCTCGATTATGGCCTCTGGAATGACACTGATCGGCTCGTTCGTCTCTTTGACCCGCCAGAAGACATACTGCCTTACATTGGCGACAAAGCTAAAACTATTGCTGGGGCCATCTTCTGGAGCTGCATCACGAGAACGGTTGCTCTCTGGAAAGCACACAACCAGGCACGCGCAATCAGTGATGCCTCAGAAAGTGCTTCCACCACCGCGTCGCCCGCCACCGCGTCCCTACGGCACATATTCTCACTCCAGTCCGTGATGAAGGATGAGACACTCCTCATGTCTCTCGCCCAGTCTCGCCTGGACTACAAACGGAAAGGTTATACGTTTGTTCGCCTCCAGGAGCAGTCCCGCGATAACTCTTCTTCTGAACTCGCCGACATGCGCCGTCAGGCCATGGACACTGCCGCGTCTCAAGGAAAGCCGCCTTCCATGTGGAAATCGCTCGAGGAAGTCGAAGTCATGCTGAAGAGTCACATGACTGAAGACGAAATTGTCCGCATGAGCGCTGTCGCGCAGGGTCACGGCACAGATGAGGACGCCTACTTGTTCAGCATCATCGTCATTTCCCTTGCGAACCATTTCATTTGTTTCGGTGACGGCCCGCGCTGGGACGCAGTCTTCGTCTCCCTCGCCGTCGGTGGTTGGCTCAAGGTTCTCCAAGATCCAGCAGAGCCTAAGTCATGGGACAAGATGCCGTCAAGTCAGTACTTGACGGGGCCTGACATGGGCGGGGGAATCCGCCAGCACCAGCCCTAACCGACCTGGCCTCAGTCGCCTGTATCGTACATGCGGCTGAGCGATGGGGCAGTGTGACCCCTACGTAAGCTTGCGCCGAGCGAGGCCTCAGATTGGTTGTGGACTCTGATCTCTGGAGTGCCCGGAAGTGCCTGATGCGGTCGCTACCTTCAGATCAGCAGAACTATCAAATCATGAATCGCGCGCCAGAGCAAACGTGCGTCTTATCTCTACACAAACAACGTCATCGCTCCGACGGAGGCACGACAACACCGACATTGAAGCTCCGAGCGCAAATATACTTATCATGGAGGGGGTACCACCCGGCATTCAACTTTCGTCGCAATGTTCGACCGTCTCCAACCGCAGCGCTCAATTGAGCATCGGGTTCGACAAGTTGGCGGCGCAGACGAACGCCGGGAGCCTCATTCACGATGAGCTGAGGGAGCTGGCGTCCATCGTGTCCGCACTCTCGCAAGGCGCGGAGGAGCTTTCGGCAAACCTGGCCAGTGCGAACAATCTCCGTGAACAAGTTCGACGACAAATCTCGTTGTCCATGTCCTCATGCGAATTACTCGTCGGTGGCGTGACAACGGACTTGGAGGCAGCCTTGTCAGCCTCGGCACGAGAACAATCAGAACTACAGCCCTTTACTGACGCTGCGGAGCTGTGGAGGCTTCACATTGAGATGGTATTTGCCTTTCAAGACATTGTACACCTGGAAGATGTGGACCAGCAGCAGGGAGTCTTCGCGGCGCTTGAGACCAAACTTGAAGACATCGAACGACTCATGGCTGAGTTCCACTTGTCACACCCAGGACCAGCCCCTGCAGCACCTGAGCCCTCAATACCGCTGGAGAAGCAAGGCGTGCTTCCCGACTACGATACAGCCGTTGCTAGCTCATCGACTCATGTTGCCACTACGCCAAGTAGTGACGTCGGATACCAGCACGACAATGCACAGCAGGAGGTTCCCCTTTATCATGATTTGAGTCAACGGAAGGGTAAGTCGAAGGCCAAGTCAGCCAGAGCGAAAGGCGTCTTTGGGGGGTTCAACAATATTTTCAAGACGCTTTCCTCTAAGATTAATCCCATTGAACCCCTTGTGACACCACTTTGTCATGCTGCGGCTATTGGTAACATCCCTCAAATCAAGGGTCTCCTCGGCGAGGGCGCCAACATCAACGGCCACAATGAGAAGGGCTACACCCCGTTAATCAGCGCTATTCTTGCGAATCGCCTCGAAGCCGTCAATTTTCTCATTGATAATTACGCCAAGATCAGCACGAAAGACTCGACCAAGAATATGCCGCCGTTGTTCCACGCCGCTGAGGCTGGATATACCGACATTCTGAAAGTTCTTCTCAGCCATGGCGCGGATCCAAAGGCCAGCAACACCATCGGAACTCCCCACTTCATTGGGACAGTCGAGAAGGCTCCGCTTGCCTCGGTCGCCCTGCTTCTAGAGCACGGCGCAGACCCCAATGCTGTCAGCGCCGTTGGTCGACACGTCCTGGTTGCTGCCGTCCAGCGCAAAGACCTTCCTGCTGTCCGCCTTCTCCTCGACCATGGCGCCAAGATTTCAGCTACCAACTTCACCGGCCAGCCCCTTCTGGGCGTCGCCGTAGCAAACAAGCAGCTCGACATGGTCAAGCTTCTCATCGACAATGGCGCCGACGTGAACGCCCGCGCGGGAGCGAACGGGTGTCCCCTCTCCATGGCCGTCAACTCGGGCAACATTGATCTATTGCGCCTGCTTCTCGCTTCCAACGCAAATCCAGACGGCAAGGACGTCAAGAGCGCCCCTGTGCTTGTCAACGCTATCTCGAGTGGCTCGCTTGAGATGGTCACGATGCTTCTCGAGGCGGGCGCCGACGCCGACTCCCG